GGGGTGTGCCGACAAGGATGAAAAATGGCCTTTTTACCCCGACTCCGAGACAATAGGTGATGGGAGGTGGCTCCCAGCCTGGGCCTCCTGCAGTCTGTTCACAGCTCCTTCTTTAGCTGAATTGCTTAATGGGGCAGGTGTACATCCCAGTGGAGCGTTCGCAGCAGGATGGAAGGTGAGCACCTTGTGCCCTTCTCTGTGGAGGCAGACGGATACCCATGCGGGCAGGCAAGGCGGCCACTCTCTTCCCCAAAGTTCTTTCAAGGCAGCACCAATGAGCAGAATGTTTACTAAGCTGGAGCTGATGGGACCCACAAGCGGCCACGGGAAGCACAGACGTGTCCTGTTAGCATGGCCAGTGCTCCTCGGCCACATGCATAAGGACAAGTGGCCCTGTGTTAGGTCACCTGGGTGCACACGTGCCATGTGCCCATTGGGACACTTGGCGGGACACCCTGGGGTAGAGCACCCATTGAGCAGCATGCCCAGGTGCTCACATGAGACAGGCCTGAGAGCACACCTTGACATGTCGCAGAACATGCACATACATGACAGGCCAGCTGGGCTTGCACACACAGGCATGAGTCATGAGAACAGGCCCAACGAAAACAGCCCACGTCAAGGATTTGTGCCTCCTGAAATTCCCTAGGTCCCAAGGTAGCCCAGAGTGTGGCCTCAGCACTGACTGTCTAGCAGCTCAGACCTTTCTGCCCCCATGCTCAAGTGGGCTGCATAGAATGTTCCATGGCCTTCCACCCACACATGGACCCTGCTGATTTTTTTTGGTTTGCAGCTGCTCAGGCCTCTGCAGGCAGCAGTGCCCTTCAAGAGTGAGTCTCAAGCTGGTGAGAAGTCAGGTCCTCCTTGGTCCCCGGGCAGCTCTGTAAGCAGGACCTCTGTAGGTAGCATCCCAGACCGTGTGCTGCAGCAAGAGCAGAAACCTGGCCCAGGGCCAGAGCACCAGGCCATGTGCCACCCCTCAACCCTCTCTGACCCCTGGATCGAGCGGTCACCTGAGTGGGAAGCTGGGGGGAGGCAGAAGCAGAGCTAGGGGTGGCTTTCAGTATCTTTCTCCACGGCAGGGCCCAGGGCAGCCTCTAAGCCCTCTCTGTCTCCATGGCATGAGAGGGTCCCCACAGTGAGCAGGAGGGACCCTGTCCCTGCTCCCTGCCTCTCTCCTCCCCACTCTCCATGGGCACCTCCGGGCCAGGCCTAGGCCCAGGTGCTAGAGCATCTGATGGGAGAAGTGGACTCAGTGTCAAGGTCTCCCTGCCCAAGAATTTTTCATGCCTTTGTTAGAGAAATGGGAGACAGGCAACCTCCACTAAACTCCACTGTGAAGCAGTAATTAATGTTCACACTGAGAGAAGAAAAAGGTCCATTTCTATTGCTGCTCAGTGACTGTTGATTTGTGTCTCCCAATTCTGGAGGGTGACAAGCAGCCCCCACCCAAGCAAGTGGCTGCCCAGGTTTCTGGAAGAGGCCGAGGGATGGAGGCCAAGTTCCCCAGACCTCCTGTGCAGGTGCTCCTGGGGAAGCAGGGCACTGTCAGTGAGCGGTGTCTGTGTCTAGACCCTGTGGGGGTCTAGATGCCTCCAAGAGCTGTTCAGGTGATCTAAGGGAAGAGGCTGGGATGTAATGATGGTGAAGATGATGATGGTGGTGATGGTGGTGAGGATGATGATGATTATGATGGTGATGGTGGTGGTGATGATGAGGATGGTGGTGAGGAGGATGGTAGTGAGGATAGTGATGGTGGTAAGGATGATGATGGTGATGGTGGTGATGGTGAAGATGGTGATGGTGGTGATGAGGATGATGGTGATGGTGATGGCGATGATGAGAATGGTGGTGAGGATGGTGATGGGGGTGATGATGATGATGATGAGGATGATGATGGTGATGGCGGTGAGGATGGTGGTGAGGATGATGATGGTGTTGATGATGGTGAGGATGGTGAAGATGATGATGGTGATCATAATGGTGAGGATGATGATCATGGTGATGGTGATGATGAGGATGGTGGTGAGGATGATGATTGTGATGATGGTGGTGATGGTGGTGATGATGAGGATGGTGGTGAGGATGGTGATGGGGGTGATGATGATGGTGAGGATGGTGAGGATGGTGGTGATGGTGACGATGACGATGGTGGTGGTGATGGTGACGATGACGGTGGTGAGGATGGTGATGGTAGTGATGAGGATCATGGTGATGGTGATGATGATGGTGGTGAGGATGGTGATGGGGGTGATGATGATGATGATGAGGATGATGATGGTGATGGCGGTGAGGATGGTGGTGAGGATGATGATGGTGTTGATGATGGTGAGGATGGTGAAGATGATGATGGTGATGATCATAATGGTGAGGATGATGATCATGGTGATGGTGATGATGAGGATGGTGGTGAGGATGATGATTGTGATGATGGTGGTGATGGTGGTGAGGATGGTGAGGATGATGGTGGTGATGATGAGGAGGATGGTGGTGAGGATGATGATGGTGTTGATGATGGTGAGGATGGTGAAGATGATGATGGTGATGATCATAATGGTGAGGATGATGATGGTGATGATGGTGATGGTAGTGATGAGGATGGTGGTGAGGATGGTGATGGTGATGGCGGTGAGGATGGTGAGGATGGTGGTGATGGTGAAGATGACGATGGTGGTGGTGATGGTGACGATGACGGTGGTGAGGATGGTGATGGTGGTGAGGATGACGACGGTAGCAGCGATGGTGATGAGTACATACCCAGCACTGTCCTAGTGCTTTGCATATATTATTCACTCATTGAAGCTGCACAATAATCCTATAGACAGGCTGTTGTCTGTGTTTTAAAGAAGCATAAACTGAGGCATGGAGAGGTCAAGGGGCTTGCCCAGGGCTGCCTGATGTGTGTGGCAGCACAGATCCCAGTGGACGTCTGCTCCAGTTGCCCACGTTTTGGCCTCCCCACCATAGCTAGCACATCCCCTTGGGGCCTAGAGCCTGCCCTCTGCTCCATGGGCTCCCTGCTTGGACGCCCCCCCCCACACGCACCAGCGTTACACCCACCAGGGCCACCCAGCCCAGCTCGACCCCGTGAAGGTCACCTCGCTCAGGCAGCTCCTGCAAGACAGATGTGGCTCTTTTTCCCTCCTTGCCCTGATTAATTGCCTCATTCAGTTCCGACTCTATTGCAGTTAAACATTAATTCAGTAGGACTTAATAACGTGAATTCATTTACGACGTGGCCTGTGCTGGCTGACAAGGGTGTGCTGTTTGGTTAATTATAGGATCCATGCACGCTCGCTGGAAAGCACCCTCACCCTCCTTGAGTGTCGGGTCATTAAGTTCTCACTGTGACACCAAAAGCTGTGGGGAGAGGTGTGAAACAGCCCAGCCTGGGGGGTTCTGGGCGCCCGAGCTGCGGTCCTGCCCCGCGCACACACAAGGCCCAACCCTCCGGGCGGTTTGATGGGACTGTGGTTTCCAAGGCAAGGGCTCAGTGCCGCTAATCGAGCAGGAAGAGGCCCGGCTGGGGGCCTCTGGCAGCTCCACCAGCAGCCTAGTCAGAAGGGCTCCTGGCCCCCACCCCTTCTCTGCCAGCACTGAGCCCCCGGCATGCCAGAGTGCAGTCCCAGCTCCACAGGACAGGACGATGACACTCCCTGTGTTCCGGTGTGTCCCAGCCCCTCACCTCTCCAGTCCCGTCTCTCACACTCCCCTCCTCGCCTCGGGGTGCTCCTCCTCCTGAATTTCAGCCACTCTGCCCTCTCCCCGGCCCCCAGAGCTGCTCGTGAAGGACTGACCTGGCTTCTTGTCATTGTGCAGCCGGGGCACTGGGCCCATGCATCCCTTCTGCCATCTGTGCAGGGACACAACCCTGGAGGTCTCTGTCCAGGCTGTGCAGGGGGTCTGCGGGGCTTTGGGGGTGGGACGCTTGTTAGCCTCAGAAGAACCCCCCCCACATGCCCATCCCCCAGGGGCACTCCCAGCTGCAGTGGGTGGCTGGTAAAGCACGGGGCCCATCCGTACAACCCTGTGAACTTTGCCATCAAGCGCACCCCGGCCCTCCCCCTGGGGCGCCAAGGGCAGAGCCTCCCCCCCCGCGCTGACCAACTGGAGGGCACCACACAGACAGCAAGGTGCACGGCTGACGGGGGCCTGTCACCCTCACATGTGGCCCGGGAGATTTATTTTCAGCGGTAGATTCATTTGACACAACGTGTTGTAATTGTGGTTCCTAGGAAGGGATTATTTTTCTTTATATTCTTTTAGGGGGAAATTGCCGTGGTTTCTAGAAGAACAGTCTTTATTTTTAAAGCTCTGCCTACTGAAGATGGAAAACAAAGATTTGTTTGCACGATTACCAACCTTTCTCTAACCAGCTGAGCGAGCACGTCGAGTGGCTTACACCCAGGCTGCAGGGGCACGCGAGGCGACCCTCCCCATGGGCAGTGCCTGTGGCCTCAGGCCTGGGCTGACCCCCCCATCTGTCCGAGGGATCCAAGCCCCCTCTGCCCCTTCAGTAGAGCTGGGCTGCTGAGGCTGGGCTTCCATGTCCCTGCCCAGAGGACACCCTTGATCCCACCCCGGACCCCCATCCGTGCCCACCGCCCAGGAGTGCAAGCTCCTCACCTGTCACCTGGACCCGCCACCTGGAGAGTCCAGCATGTGGGAGAGGCCTGAGGGGGTCACAGGGTAGCAGCTCTCCCAGGATGGGGTGACGCTGCCCCTCGTGTAGGCTGGGGTGAGGAGGAGGCTTAGTGGCTCACTCTGGCCCCGGTGTCTGTCTGTCCTGCAGTGGGTGCACCTGCCTGGCTGAGCATGCTTCTTTGCCTCACCTCTGCCTGGCCCGCCTCACAGAGCCCTTCACCGAGCGCCTCGCTGGTGCTCCGACCTCCAGATCCCTCCCAGGCCCCCCAGGTCCCCTCGCCCGCGAGGCCCCCCTCCACAACCCTGCCACAGGGTGCTACGGGGCGCTGACTCTCCTCTATCTCTCTCCCCTGCAGTGTGACAGCGAGAGCGAAGGGGACGACAAGGTAAGCCCCCCACACCTCCTCCCGAGACCTCCACCCACGGGGGTGCAGGACAGGTGGCTTCCCCACACGTCCACGCCCCGTCTCTGCCAGGGCTCCCTGGGATGGGGGGCACTGTGGGCAGAGCGGGGGCCCTACTCTGGGTAAGCCCTCCACTTTCCAGGCTGGGGCCATAAACATCACCAGAGAACTGACTTCCACTAATAGCAGCAATGTGTTAGCTCCTCCTAATTACCCTCCTTTTCAGGAGCAATGCAGTTCCCGTTAACTCAGGATTTATGCACTTGGAGGGTTCAGCTCAGGAAAAACCACAGCACAGGCCTCCTTGGGGCCCTTGGCCCTGGTCATCTGCTGGCCACTGTGTGTCCTGTGGGGAGCAGGGAAGAGGCCACCCCGAGCTCACAGCCCAGCACTGACTGTGCACCTACTGTGTGCTGAGCTCCGTGGAGGCAAACTGCAGCGGGGGCGAAGACCCTGAGAAGTGGCAGGAGTGACACAGCCGGGCCCAGGCCTGGCACTCACTCTCTGCTTGTCCTGAGGCCCCAGGGGGCAGGAACTGTGACCCCCCCGATGCATCCAAGGACCCCAAGGCATAGAGAGGGTGAGGAGCCTGCCCGAGCTTACACAGCTGGCCCCCACAGTCCTCTGGGGTATGTGACCCGCGTAGCTGGGAAGAGTGGTAGCTGGTGGTGAGGCTGCAGGCGATGAGCACGCCGAGGGGAGGTGCCGAGTGGTGAGGAGGACGAGTGTCCAGGCCAGGGGACAGCATGTTCCCCCATGCTTGTCGGGAGGCGGGTCCACTGCACACTGGCTTCTAGGCCAGTTTTGTGAAACGGAGCGAAGTCCCATTGGGAGGTCTGTGCACACACAACCGTGCTTCTCGCTCACCTGCTGTGTCCTGGCCTGCGTTGGGCAGGTGCTGTCCAAGGTGTGGACAGCCAGACGGCCCCTCTCGGCAGACATACGTGAGCAAGCATGGAAAGACAGGCCTGCGGAGGATGCCCGGGGGTCCAGGTGACCAGCCTCAGAGCCTCGGGAGGGGTGGGGATAGGAAGGGCCAGGGGTCATCCGTGGGGGGGGAACAGTGGTGTGGATGGGTGAGGCCTGAGCCCCCAGGTATGCAAGGGAAGAGTCCCTGCCCTGGATTCTTAGGAGGGCCACAGTCTGAGTCCCAGAGCCCCCTGCCCGGAGGGACTGGCTAGGGTCTCTGTTGGGGCTCACTCCTCTGCTGTGCCAGGTGCAGCCACTTGGCCCAGACCCCCCTTCAGGCTGCCACTGGGGCTTGTGGCTGTGGGTCCTGGGAAGGAAGGCAGTGGCCAGAGTCAGCCTTCCCCATACCTGTGTGCTGGGCCCCAGCCATGGCCACAGTGAGCGGTCTGCGTGGGTGATGGGGTAGCCCAGCTCCATCTCAGGGCAGGTGGGAGGCCAGGCCACCCCCATCCACAGCTTTAGTGAGGCCAGGGCCAGAGGAGAAAGCAGAACCGCCTCCACGCCCCAGTGTCCCCACCTGTTCCACGGGAGATGGAGACATGTCTTCCGAGCCACAGTGGGCTCTGAGTCAGTTAATACGGAGTGAGTAAGCCACAGGCAGCTCCTGTTTGTGGGTGGATAGAGCCGGAGGGTGCTCCAGAAAGCCCCTGTGCTGGAGAGAGCCAGGAAGGGGCACAGGCCTCCTCCCTGGTCACCCAGGTTTGCCCTCCCACGAGTGCCTGGGTCTTCTGTGACACTGGGGTGTATCTCTGGGCGGCTTGGGATGGAGGCCAGAGGCCAGGCTGAGACCCCATGTAGTTGACCATGGGTCAGCATGGGGTGGCCAGGTCGGCACTCGGGCTGAGCCCCAAAGCTGCGTGATTGTGGGGAGGTGTCAGGGCTTCCCGGAGAGGCTGCCTGGGGCAAGGGCTCCCTGCCGGATAATTTGCCAACCACCACCGATAGGTCGTGCCTGGTCAGCACTGGCTGGGTCATAGTGCCGCACCAGGCTCTGCGTGGCTGCCTGGGCTGCCCCCCCGCCCCCTGCCCTCCCCCCGGCCCTCCGTACCTCTCATCTGGGCACACACAGCCTCTCCGCTCATCTGCTCACAAGTCTGCCCCCGCCAGATGCAGAGACCCATACTGCCCGCACAGCCAACTCCCAGCCCTCAGTCCTGCCGTCCAAGGACAGACGCCAGCTCTCGGCCACGCGGCCCCACGCTGGTTAGAACCTGCGTTTGACTGCTGTAGTGGAAACTGGAGTTAGCAGTGGCTTAATAGAGGGTTTGTATTTCTCACCGAGAAGCCCAGCTGTGGGCCCTCCAGGCTGGCACGGCCTGTGCGTGGTCATCAGGCTCCTGTCTCTGCTTGGCCGTCCTTGGTATGTGGCTGCCCCCCCCACCCCCTTGGCCCGTGAAGGCAGCTGTAGCACCAGCCACCCCATCTGCATCTCACCTCCCCACACCACTGCTCATGCAGAGTGAGTGATCACCTGTGCGGCGAGCCAGGGAGAACGTTGGTGCGAAATGTCCCATGGGGGCCAGAGCAGAGGGAGAGAGCATGAGGTCAGAGAGGCCACATTATGTAAACCATAGCAGGAAGCTCAGGTTTGTTCCAAGTGCAGTGGGGAACCGCTGTCCCAAGAGGTCCCTGTCCCTCACACTAATTACACACCGTGTGAGGTTGGACAGCAAGAGAGACCTGAGTTCCTTCTGCCTCCCTCTAGCCAGGCTGGGTTCCAGGGCTTCCTCCCAGCCCATCAGGAAGCAGGTGCAGCTCCGAGGGGTGCCGTGCCCACTCATCCAGAGCCGCCAGCCTTCCTGTCCTCCCCCACCCCACTCCAACTGACCTGCCGTGGGGCCAGCCCCCTCCCAGGAGCCTCTGCCCTCTGCAGCTCCCCACCACCTTTCTCCAGGGATACAGCCAGGTGAGGTCTTTTGCCCCTTCCAGAAGGAGCTGCTCAGGGGAGGAAGGCCACGTGTCTCCACAGTGTTTGCAGGATGGCAAAGCCCTGATTTTATAGAGCTAGAAGAACATGGGAATGGGAGAAAGAGGCATCCCCCTGCAGCATGCCCTCCCCTGGGGCCCGGCCACCGTCCCCCCACAGCATGCCCTCCCCTGGGACCCGACCACCGTCCCCC